TCGGCCTCGTCACCCCTTACCTTCAACACACACACACACACACACACACTCTCTCTCTCTCTCCCTCGCATGTTGTCTCGCTTTTGTAGACAATAAATAAACATCCCCGGCACCATGCGAGGAGCAGTGATGCGGGTGGTGGTGGTGGTGGTGGTGGTGTGGGCCTCCACCCCACTTTTTTCATACAAACACATCGCAGTCCAGATATTAACAACAAACACACACACACACACACACGCGGAAATAAAGATAGTGAGACTGAGAGGGGAAGGGAGAAATAAATATACACAAGACACATATATAAAGAAGTAGTATGTATGTGTTGAACAAACACATAACACACATGTATGTGCATGCACTGTAATGCAGCAACGAATGCGGTCCATAGTGGTGGAGAGGGGGGAGATGAAAAAAAAAAAAAAAAAAGGAAAACAAACAAACAAATCACAGACTCACTCACTCCCTAACCTTCCCTTCCCTTCCCTTCCTTCTTTCACCGCCGCCCATTCGTGTTAACCACCACCATCAAATAGCACCAAACAAAAATCCCATACGCTCTCCCTCTCCCTCCCTTTCTCTCCCTCTCTTTCTTTCTTTTTTTTTTTTTTTTCTTCCTATTTCTATTTCTTTCTTCCCATCCCTCCACCCCTGCAAGGAATTAAACGTAGATATGAACATGAATAGACATGTGCCTCTCTCTCTCTCTCTCTCTCACTCGCTTCTTCCTCCCTGTGTTTCGGTGTACCAATGCATGTGTGTCCATGTGCCCACTCTGTGTCGATGTCGTGCCGTAACCGCCCGCCGCCCCGTCCCACGCAAAGCAAACATAAAACCATCAAAAGTAAAATCAAACTGAAAATAGCAAACGCACACACACACAGCACAAGAAAAAAAAAATAATTGTGTGTGCCACGGCCTTTACACATTCAGCTTTGACGAGGAACCACAATAAAAAAGGAAAAACACACAAACACGCAAAACAACAACAACAACAACAAATTCGTAAAAAAGGAAGAAAGCAACACACACAAAAAAAAAAAAAAAAAAAAAGAAAAAAGGAGAAGGAAGGAGAATCCATAAATTTTCGGCATAAAACTGCACTTTAGTTTTACATGCAGGCCTCTTTATTTGCATCGGTGTCAAGTGTGTGTTCGCGTGCGTGTGGGAAAAGAGAGGGATGGTAAATATATATATATATATATTGAAGGAAGCACATCCACATTTCATTGGCCTGAATTGATACCTTCGATTCGCAGTCTAAAAAAAAAAAAGTGTGTGCCATGTCGTTTCTCTTGTACACTTTTCGTCATCGCCGCATGCTCCCTCCTTTCCATTACACACACTTCCTCCTTCTCACCCCTCAAAGGAGCTTTCGATCCCATGTGTCGCTTGCCCTCGTGTCCCGATGGTTTCTTTACCGGGCACCCTGTTGCTGTTGCTGCTGCTGCTGATGCGGTGACCCTTGTGGCGTTAGTGGCGCGGCAAAGAGAGCATGGGGGAAGTTGAAGTTATCCCCCACAGTGTTCTTCCCAATGCATTGTGAAACTGACGGCATCGTTGTTTTCGCATTCAATGCCACTGCCGTTGCTGCCTGCGCTACCGATTTTTTCTGGTGCGGCTGCCGCATTGCTGCGATGTCCGTTGTATGCGTACTCAGTTGGAACATCCGCATTAATTCTGTCTGTCCAAGCGCCGTGGTGCAATTATTCATGTCACCTGTGGCAATTCCTTTCTGCTGGTAATGCTTCACAATGCGGGTCGTAGCCTGATCCATCTTTGTCTCCACGCGTTTGCCAAAATTCATGTCAAGCAGAAGCGGGAGCATCCGGTGCAGGTGGTGAACCAATTGTATGAGTTCCGTGCAGACAGGAAGGACGGAGAGCATCTTTTGCACCACGTAGTTGCCAAATTGGTTAAGCGCGATGGCGGAGAGCGTCGGGGTGTCGTGGTGCAGCACATGCTGCGGTAATGACGACGAGGAGGGGGAGGAAAAAGGGACATCCTGAGAATTCCCCGGGATGTTGTTTTGAAACGAAAACCCTGTCTTCTCATTCGACCCCTGAAGGATGGAGCGACACAGCTGCACCTTGGCCTCCTCGCTGCATAAACTCAGAATGATCTCCACCACGTTGGAGGCAAACTTGTTGGTACAGAGCATCTTCAACGCAGGGCCCACGCAGACGGCGGCGCGATCCACCACGTGACGTTGATTCATGGCGTCACAGTTACGAATGAGATGCGTCACCACGTAGTTGCCATAAGGACTCATAGAAAGAGGCAAAAAATGCTTCAGCACCGCTTCCTGTAGTTGCGGCAGCCGCTCTGGCGGGGCAGAGTCAATGCATTTCTGAACCACACAACAGCCCTGTTTGTCATTGCAGAAATCAATAGTCTTCTCCACAATGGCATCGTACACAAATGCAACATCCTGCGGCAGGCACTGAAGCAACTTTTGCACCACGTGTCCTCCGTTGAGATCATTCATCAGCATCAATACTCCACGCTGCAGCGCCGCACATACCACCTCCACCTCCCGCCGCGATCGTAACGAATCAATCAACTTCTGAACCGCATAGTTACCATGCGGGGAAACAGCAACCTCACAAAGCGATCCAGACAGATGCTGAGAAAGCATATGCAGCCTATCCTCATCTGGTGCAATCTCCAGCAGTTTCTGGACAAGGAAGTTCCCGTACGGGCTTGCCATTACCTGTGGCAGACAAGGAAGCAATTCATTTACAACACACTGTACCTCTTGCGAACGGTATGGGTAACGCTCCAGGACCGACTGCAGCTCACGGCATCCATGTTGATCAGAGGCCATCTCCACCACATGGCCGCGGTATTGAGGCCTTTCAACTGGCACTGGTGGAAACAAGGCGTCACGATGAAGTTCTGCTGACTCCTCAGCCGAAGCGGTGTGTTTTCGCTCCGACGAAGCCAGTGTCGCATGGTTGCTTTCCCCAGAACAACTGGGTACAAGAGGAACCCGAGTTTTCACTCGCTGCTGATGATGCCCGTGGTGCAGGTGACGCGTGCTGGGCGCGGCGCAAATTTTGGGTCCCAAAAAACTAGCCAATTCTCGAAGTGGCGATGACGTAGACGATGACCTCATAGTGCTCCACCCATCATCGGGAAACACCCATGGGTAGTTAGACCCTCTCAGACCGTTTTTGGCATTGATCGTATTGCTGTTAATGATATTATTCTTGGTGTTGTTGTTGATGGTCGAAGAATTGGTGATGATGGTGGCGGTTCCCATGGGATTATCAGGGCCTTTTAAAGGGAGTTGATACGCCGTCGCATGCCTCACCATTGGCTGGGGGTCCATCAACGCACCTCGAAATGGCTCTGAGACAGAATGACGCATTTCCGTATACTGTTGTTGATGTTGCTTTTGCTTCTGCTGCTGATGCTGGAAAGTCTGCTGTTTTTGTTGTTCGGACTGCTGCAGTCCGTACGGGCCACCGCTCAAAATCACGCTGTTTGGCCGTGGCGAGCGCAACTTTCCGGCCGCCGCCCCTGCTGAATTGGTCGGCGTGTTCACAGGAGACAGGTTAAGCAACAGGTTCAGGCTGCTCAAAGGGTCATTTCCACCGTGACGGCCGCACACATGATTAGTATTGTTATTGTGATGAGTGTTGCCGTTGTTAATATTTGCGATGGCGAGGCTGACACCAGTGGCGGCGGAAGAGGCATTCGGTATCATCCAAAACGGGGTGGAAGTTGCGCTTGTCGTTGCGGTCGCCGTGCCCACAGTTGCGGCAGTATTAGTAGTAGTGGTGGTGGTGGGCAGGGTGCTCGGCTTCCTCGCGCTGGCGCCATATGCCGAGGGTGTGAGCCCCGCCACGACAGAAAAGGGCGACGTGGACGGTGTTTTCAACATATTCTCCGGCGATGTACCCAACTTGCCGGCGTGGTACCCGCACGAGGAATTGGCGGTTGTTGCCGCACTCGCCCACCCACCCGCCGTGGCCTCCGGGCGTTTCTGGGAGTCGAAGAACATCGGCGGAGCATCATCGGTGACACCGCCATTCACATCTGCCGCCAATGAACAAAATGATGCCGGTATCAACGGCGTCCCGTGGGGCAAATTCCCGTTACAGCCGCCCATTCTCTTCCGCTCCCCACACATCAGTCCCCACACACTGGCATCACCACAGTCACCCTTAACAGCGGCATTGATGGCAATCTCGCTCTTGACAACATCCCCCTCCTCGGTATCCTCCGTGTCGCCAGCACCACCTTCCTTTGCCGCCTTCACCGCAGCAACCTCAGCAAGAAGGGAGGATAAATTCCACGTAATGTGGCTGTCTGCGTCCATATGCACGTTCATATATGTATTTACGTATATGAGAATCTGTGGAGCTCTATCCCTCCTCCTTTCTTTTTTTTTTTTTCCCCTATTTTTATTTGTTCTTCTCCTCTTGGTGTATCTTTGCAACGCTCAACTCAAAGAATGACCCCCCCCCCCTTTTTTTTTTTTTTCTTCTTCCTGTTTCCTTCTTCTCTCTTTTTCTCCCCTTTTTCCCGCTGCGTCTAATAATGATTCGCGCGCCGGCGTGTAGACTTTTCGTGTCCGTTCCCGTGCGTGTATTTGAAAAATCCCCTCACTCACTCACTCACTCACTCAGTGATTGGGATGTGAGTAAAAAAAAAAAAAAGAAAAAAAAAGCAATGTCTAATTTTTTTATTTTTCCTTTGTTGGGTCTTTTTCCTCTTCCTTTTATTTTATTTTATTTTATTTTATTTTTTTATTATTTCCTCCTGCGGCCCAGACGGTGAGACACAAATGCGCATAAGTGGAGAGAAGAGGTGGGGTGGGAGAAAGGGAACATTATCGAAGAAAAACAGGAAGTCAGAATGACATGCAGGCAAATTAAGGGAGGAATAAAATTCCAATAGACAAACGGGCATTCGTCCAAGCCTTTCTCTTTCCCATTCCTTCTTTTTTTTTTTTTTCTTTTTTTTTTTCTGTACGTACCGGTCGTTGAAGGCGGCTACACATTTTCATCAATCGCCACACGTTCCCTCATAAGTTCCGCCCAGTCCTCCTCACAGCTGTTATACACACCGGCTCTTTTTGCCGCTTCCTCTGACGACGTCGGTGCCATGCGTACAAGTGACTCGTACCGTCTTTTCAGCATCAAAGCCCGCACCGCGATGGCGTCAAGTCGCTGCACGTCATGAAGTCTCGCCTCGTGCTGCGCCATGAATCCCACGGGGCTGAGCACAAAAAGCAGCAACGCCAACCCGGACGCCGCAAAAAACCACATGACTCGCCGTTGCTGCGCCACACGCGCCGGGTACCGCAGTCGCCAAACACGGTAGATGCGGCGGTAGTGCCATGACGCGATAAGCCCTGCACCTCCAATCGATGCGGCTACAGCCAACGAGCTCACACGGGTGGCCGTGACGTAACGACGACTCCGCCGCAAAAGATTGTTGGCGGCGGCTTCGCAGCTGTTATGAAGAAGCTGCGCGTCAACGGCACGAGCGTCACACAGCGAGGCAACCGCAGTGGCCGTGCGCACGACGTTCTCTGCCGTCATCCACGCTAGAGAAAAGCAGAAAAAGGGGAATCCACAGGGGGAAAAGAAAAAAGGAAAAGAGAGAAGAACACATCCAAAAAGAAACACACACACACAAACTGTCCTACTCATGCAAGTACGCACTACTCATATTTACACCATCCAAGGCAGCGGCAACACACACATAAAAAAAAACAAACAAACCCGTGGCGGCACCATAGACAAAACAACAACAAACAACACAGACAAATACATATATCTTTATTCATTTATAGGCGTTTGTGTGCATTGCGCACACTCTTTTGTACAATCTCTGGATACTCTTCGTCAGGGAAGAAAATAAACAGGTCACAATGCACCCCTGGGGCCAGGCGGCGACGGTGAACATAAAAGGATAAGTAGGAGAGAAAAAAAAAAGATAAAGTGAAGTGCACATGGGTGTTGCTTGTCTATATATATATATATATATGTTTGTGCTCCCTTCTCTTCCCTCTTTTCTCTCTCTCTCTCTCTCTCTCTTTTTTTTTTTCTAAAGTTTTTTTTTTTTTTTTTGCGAGTCTCTTCACGGTTGTCACTCTCCAAAATAACAATGGTGCCAACACAACGGCAAGACTGCAGGACTTCTACAAAATATTTATTCCCAGAGCCTTTCGTAACTGCGCTGCAACAGGCAGTCGCAGAATACTGCAATGGTAGCGAACGACCTGCGGGTACCGTTGCTTCAGTGTTGTACACAATTGCTTCAGCAATAAGGCCTGGTTTATAGCGAGCGACACAACAAGGTCCGCCGCGGTCAGAGAGTCACCAACAAGAAAAAGCATGTCGCTGGCTGCAGGGGCGCTCCGTCGTGGCGTATGCATAGAGAAGCGTGACGCTTGCGTCGATGGCCGTGGTGATGACAATACAAAATGAGCCGACAAATACGGCACACCGCCACCCTCATGAGCGGCGCCCTCGTTATTTGATGCGATTTCTCTCGCGCTGTTGATTTGATTGGGGTCTTCCAGCTGGGTTTTAATGTTGTATGTGTGGTACCCACGCAGGACGGAGCTTCCCCGCGGCGTTACCCCAAGCCAGTACTCCTCTTCCGAAAGCCCCTCATCCACCTCCTCCATGTTTCCCGTGCGAGCACTGACGGGGTTGTTGCCGCCTCCACCACCCGTCGCCTGGAGTTTCCGTAGCTGCTTCTTGAAAACAAGCCGCTGCTCGAGGCCGTTCAGTCCCTCATGCAGGGCATCCACCCTCGGCTGCAGCGGCAGTGCCTTGGCGCCTGCGTCTTCTCCTCTCGGGTTTCTCTTCAGCGTCTTCTCCTCCTTTTCCATCGCAATAAGTGGCAGGATGTGCGGGTCGAGTTCCGTCACAACAAAGTCCAGCCACGCATCCACCTCCGCCGCCTCCTGTACACTCTTCCCGTAAAGAATGTACGGCACTAAATGCTGTGGTGAGGGGTGGCGCTCGCTGCCGTCCAACCCGTACAGGCGCTCCGTGCGTGCAAGGTAGCGTATGATGGCGTTTGTCTCGAAGAGATATCCCTCGTCGGACTTCAGCACCGGCACACGGCCAAGTGGATGACAATTACGGCGGTAACTTTCCGTCTCATTCTCCTTACCAATTGTGACAGGGACCACCTTCAGCCTCGTGCCAGCATACGCCGCGACAAGAAGCACACGGTGTACATGCGGATCGTCAAGTGGCCCAATCAAACTAAGCACCATTTTCCGTAGCGATGTCTTTCCCTTCCCCCCTAATCCTCCTCTGCGTCTTCTTCTCCCTCGTGTATATATATGTATAGTAAAATATATATATTTTTATTTTTATTGGAGTGTTTTTGTGTTCGTTTCTCTCTTTCTCTCGCCACCTCACCGAGTTATTGCACGACTCTACTTTGTTCTCTTCAGGCACAGACCGAAATTAAACACTGGAGGACCCTTTGGGGAAAGAAAAAGGAAAAAAAAACAAAGAAAAGGAAAAAAAAGAAAAAAAAAAAGAAAGGAAGCCAATGGCAATAATAAAAACCAACCCTCCTTCCCTCCTCTTTCTCTGTGTGTATTTGTGTATGACAATTCCCTTCCTCCTTCTCATCCGGCAGAAACACCAAACAAAAACAGACACGACAAAATAAACAGTAGCGGAGAATTTCAGTGGACGGCATTAAAAAAGGAGGGAAAGGCGGCAAAGAAAAAAAAGAAAAAAAAAAGAAAAAAGTGGCAGACGAAAGAAAATAAAAACACTCGGATGTGGCATCAAACATACAAATGAGGACTCCTCCCCTCCCCTCCCCCCCGCAATTTTTGTTTTTGGTCTTTTCTTTTATTATTATTATTATTATTATTCCTTCTCCCTCTCTCTCTCTCTCTTTTTTTTCTTTTTTTTTTTTCTTTCCCCCTTTCTTCTCTCTTTCTCTCTTTTTTTCTTTTTTCTCTTCTGTTGTGTGTGTTGTCGCGTGCGTGTGTTTTGTCTTCTGTTACTTTTTTTTTTTTTTTTTTTTCTTCTTCCTTTTCCCTTCTAAGAGGGTTCTTCATCCGATGTGGCAACACCGCAATTATCGCCACCGTGCGCCGAATCCAAAACGAGAGAGTGAGAAGCGTGCAGTCATTGCAGCGAAGCCCACTGCCTAGAAGTGTCCTCCTTTCCTTCCTATTCCTTTCCGTTTTTCTTTTAAGTTTTTTTTTTTTTTTGTTGTTTGTGTTATTCTCCTCCACGAACGTTCGCCCTATTCACAGACACGTACACGTACGCAACTTACGACCCCGTGACACCGGCTGCTGCTGCTGCTGTCGTCGAGGGCGTGACAGGCGACGTGTCAGTGGCCGTTCCAGCGGTGCTACCGCCGCCGCCCGCATTGCCGCTGCTGCTGCTGCTGCTGCCAGCAATCACCGCGCTAGGGCCCGCATGGGCCGGGTCTGAGAGGTCCTTCTCGACCTCAGCGAGGTTTGGCTGATAATTCTCTTCGCTCTCCATCTTCCATTTGTTTTGATTAAAAAATTCATAACCACCGGCTGTGCGTCGCCGCATCCACTGCTGCCGCACCTTGTGGAACCACCAACCCCGCTCCAACAGCACCCGCGCGGCGGCTAATTGCAAAAGGTCTCGTGGCATGGAGTAGAAAATGTAAAGCAGCGTCTCATCCGTGTACTTTTGCAACAGTTTCAGCGTGGGTTGACGCGGCTTTGCCTGCCTGTAGCAGTCGGGGATACGGTACTCGGGAACAACAGGCACCTCAGGTCGTTCCAGCGCTAAACTCGCCAGCGTTGGGTGCAGAGGACGCTGCTGCGCCACGTTGATTCCAAGCGAGTTAAGATCAAAGCCACGTGTCAGGTACAGAAATGCCGCGCTCTCCGGATTCTCCGCGTTGACAGAGTGCTGGATGAGTCCTGGAAGGGCCAAAAGACCATACGGCCCCTCCACCGCCACACGCCCCCGCTGTATTTGCTGTTGGTGGTGATGATGTTGCTGTTGCTGTTGCTGTTGCTGCTGTTGCTGTTGTGTACTTTGTGCCTGCGGTTGAGGATGGTGAACGGCTGCTGCTGCTGCTGCTGCTGTTGGATACGGCTGATGTTGTTGTTGGGCTATCATTTGTTGCTGTTGGGTCACAAATGCCGTTGTGGCGACCGGGTACGCCCCTCGCATGCTCTGGTATGGATTGGGCGCCCCAGCCGCCGCCGCCGCCGACGCGGGGTATGTCATGTGCACTCCCGGCAGAATCCCGGCACCATAACGTGCCGCCTGGTTGTTGTTCATCGCCCTTCTCCCCACACCTGCGTTCTTCTTCTATCGTCGCCCAGAGTGAAGCCAATCAAAATCCAAAGGCTTAAAGAGAAAAAGAAAAAAAAAGAGAGAACAAAAGAAGAGAAAAGAGGGTACACGTGTCCCCCTTTCGTTTTTTTTTTCCTCTCTTTTATTTCTCTCTACAAATATAAATAAATACAAAAAAATATATATTTTTCTCCCCCTCCCAACTCCCCTTTTCTCGCTTTAATACACAAAATGGGGGGAGAAAAAAAGTGTTTTTATTTTTATTTTTTTATTTATTTATTCCGCAGGCAAAAAAAAAAAAAAAAAAAAGGGGAGGGGGGGGAAACAAAAGAGAAACAAACAAACAAACCAAAAAAAAAGGAAATTTTTTTTTCTTTTCGTGTGTTTTTGTGTGTATTTGTTTGTCCGTTCCAAAAGGTGTTTTCTCAAACTATGGGGAAAAAAAAATAAAATAATAAATAAATAAATAAAAATACTGCTGCGACTACGTGACAAACAAAAAAAAAAGAGAGAGAGAGAAAAAAAAAAGAAAAACAGCAGGTCACATACACACATGCATACAGCCATACACATGCATACAGCCATACACATGCATACAGCCATACACATGCATACAGCCATACACATGCATACAGCCATACACATGCATACAGCCATACACATGCATACAGCCATACACATGCATACAGCCATACACATGCATACAGCCATACACATGCATACAGCCATACACATGCATACAGCCATACACACAGCATACAGCCATACACATGCATACAGCCATACACATGCATAAAGCCATACACATGCATACAGCCATACACATGCATACAGCCATACACATGCATAAAGCCATACACATGCATACAGCCATACACATGCATACAGCCATACACATGCATACAGCCATACGCACAGCATACAGCCATACACATGCATACAGCCATACACACAGCATACAGCCATACACATGCATACAGCCATACACATGCATACAGCCATACACATGCATACAGCCATACACATGCATACAGCCATACACATGCATACAGCCATACACATGCATACAGCCATACACATGCATACAGCCATACACATGCATACAGCCATACACATGCATACAGCCATACACATGCATACAGCCATACACATGCATACAGCCATACACATGCATACAGCCATACACATGCATACAGCCATACACATGCATACAGCCATACACATGCATACAGCCATACACATGCATACAGCCATACACATGCATAAAGCCATACACATGCATACAGCCATACACATGCATACAGCCATACACATGCATACAGCCATACACATGCATACAGCCATACACATGCATACAGCCATACACATGCATACAGCCATACACATGCATACAGCCATACACACAGCATACAGCCATACACATGCATACAGCCATACACATGCATTACAGCCATACACATGCATACAGCCATACACATGCATAAAGCCATACACATGCATACAGCCATACACATGCATACAGCCATACACATGCATACAGCCATACACATGCATACAGCCATACACATGCATACAGCCATACACATGCATACAGCCATACACATGCATTACAGCCATACACATGCATACAGCCATATACATACAAATGAATACGCACATATTTATATTTTTATATCTAAGTACAAAAAGTAAATTACTTTACTAATTTTTCCCCCTTTCTTTTTTTTTTCCTTTTTTTTTCTTTTTGTGCCTTATCAAATAAACGCAAATGGGCCGCACGCCGGCTTCTATCGCCGAGCACTTCCGACCCCCCCCTCCCCTCTACTGAGTGGAGATGTGGAGGAGAGCCCCGATCCCTCCCCCCCTTTGGAGAGGAAGTTGCGGCGGCACGATACTCTCTCATTGCCGAGAATCAATAAAGAATCAATATTCTCCCGGTATCTGCACCCTTCTCCAAATACTTAATATACATGTATATAAATGAAACACTCCAAAAATAATTCTGCAGGAGTGTTCAATGCTCCCCTCGCACCATCATTATCATCCCCACCCACCCACAGTCTCTCTCTCTCTCTCCATCCATCCAAACAAACAAACAAACAAACAAAAAAAGAAAACAAAAAAACTTCACATAATATGAAAGGAAAAACGTAACAAAAAAATTCAAGCATCACTCTAAGGACAGATGGCAAATATCAAGCAGTGAGGTGCAGTAAGGAAATCCCTTTCTGCGGATAGTTTTTTTTTCTTTTCTTTTTTTCTTTTTCTTTTTTCTCATATATATATATATATATTTTAAGTCATGACTTCAGTTTCTTACGGGCATAGGAGGGAAGAGAGGATCTGCATGTATCCACTTAATTGTGGAAAGAAAAAGGGTGACTGTACCCACAAGAAACTCACAGCCTCACTATTCATAAGAGAAGCTCCTAAAGGTGGGTAGCTGGAAGTTACCACCGTCTCCGGAATGAGGATACGCCGCTTGCCTCCTTAAGGAGTTGTTGCTCGCTAAAGTATCGCTGCCACCCGGCGCATAGCGACTACTGCGCAGAAGAATTTCCACCGTCCCGTTCGAACGCGCCATGACACCTGTTTTCATTGGAGATTTTAAAGAATCCGAGACCTCGTGCCTTTCCGGTTCATTGTGAGGATGCCGGGCACACCATTCTGGCAGACGTGGGGACCAGTTGCTGACACCTCTACCACATTGACCACACCTCCGCTCCGTGAATAGCACGGAGGGACTGTGAAGGCACAGCGCTGAAGACGGTTCATCACCAGAGACGGAATTCACACCAGTCGCCCCATTGCCCATGCGCTCCATAAGGCCGTGGGGAGGACTGAACCAAAGCGGCCGAAAGTTGGCGCCGCTCCCACAAATAGAGGTTCCCTCCTCATTGTTGCTGGTCATGTTTAAAGGGTCATCCTCGTTTCGGGTGGCATCGCGTGCCGGGATAGCTGGAAATACATCTGACCGAACAGTGAAGCTCAGCGGGCCGGTCGCAACTGGAGGGGTCATCGGCAATGGCAACGAGAACCTTGCCACATCCATCAAACCCTCCGGCTGCAGACGCAACTCCGGTGGAACGTCTAAAACCTGGAACAAAGCGTCCATGGAGGCATCCAGTGTCAGACTGGGGGATGTGTTGGCTGGAGCCGCAGCCGTCACAGCCGCGGCGGGCTCTTCCTCATGAACCGACCCCTCCATGTTGTTGTTGGCGTGGGTGTTTCGCATGTAAAGCCCGTTAAGGCTCACGTTTTTTCCAGTTAGACAACAGCAAGGCTTCTCCTCAGAAAGAACACACGATTTCGATTGCGCGTGGAATGAACACACATGATGTCCACCACCACCACCACCACCACCTACTACTACGCCTTGTGAGGCTCCCATGGAGTATGTTGCGAGCCTCATCGCCCCCATTGAGGAGACCGAAAAGTGAAAAAGCATGTTCATGGAAGAATCTACACTATGATCTACTAAGCACTGGGAATTACCCGTATCCATTTCATTAGTCGAGGTAACCCATGTTTTCTCCAAGGGATTTCGTCCAGAATCAATTGTTTCCTTCTGGAGCTGAGAAGACAACTTCTTTGTAGTGGTATCGATTGCTTCCTCACAACTTTGGAGAATCCGTTCGCCACACTCCACCCCCTTGTCAGGTCGTTGTTTGCCGCGACAAAATAAATCACTGGAAGTACCAGGCAAAAGGGATGTTGTCATGAAAACACCTTTTTCCATTTTCTCTTCCATCTCTGCCGTATCTTTCTTACCGCCACCCTTGCCATGCATCTTCACACATCGGGGAGAGGTACGGCTAGCCAGAAGCTTGTCACAGGCACCTTCACCTAGCGGGAACGCTGCGACTGAAGACAGTGGGGATAAAAACGACGTTTTACAGGCAGCGCGCTCCGGCGTTAAGTTTTCGCCTACATTACCCTCCGACTCTTCCGATGGATGGGGGTTTGCCCGCCAATGTCGTGGGGTACATTTGAAACTGGTCTTGCCCATGGATTCCTTCGGCAACGGCAAAAACTCTCCTGATTCATGAGGTTGGCCGCTGTAGGATATGGTCTCGGGATGAACGCCCGAGTACCCTGCAGTGACAAGCACGGAAGTTCCGACAGTGCGATATTCACGGGATGCTTCTGCTTCCGCATGAATCATGGAGACAACCTCCGACTTATAACTCCTGGGGGAATACACTGGGGGCATTGAATAGGGCTTCCCATCCACAACAAATTGCATAAATGCAAAGGAACGAGGCGTCGAGACTTTGCTGACAGCGATAGGCGGCTGTGGTGCTAACCCCACCTCAGAACAGTCCGGTCCACCCAACATGCGCCGTACATTTTCCCGTTCCATCCCGCCCTCATGTTGTTGTTGATCGACCAACACTAGGGGAGCGATGAAAGGAGACGCTTCAGGTGCTGTCGCTTCCGTTTCTTTTTGATACGCCACGGGTTGACATTCACAAAGGCCCAGCAAACAGCTCCCCCCGCTCTTGCCGTCGTGACCATCATTGTCGCTACCATTGTCATGCCTGGACGCATCCTCCCGCACATGCCGTAAACTCGCCTCGCTACTGTGGTGCCATTTCTGCCATGCTGTCGATGGAGGCAATTCAACGCCATGAGTGCAAACCACACGTTGCGACAAAACATTGCAGTTATTCGTAGCAGAGGAGGCATTGTTACCCGTATTTATTGTCAATGATGGCGTCGTTGAAAACACTGGGGCTCCGATCGTTTCTGGTTTGTGCTTCATCGAAGCGCCGTGACTTTTTATCACCCAATTTTTTTTTTCTGCTTCTATTTCTCTTCTCCTCCCCTTTTTTTCCTCCTACGCTCCCCAATTCCTTCCCTTTCCTGTGTTTCCTGATGCAAACTTCAGTTATTGGTAGCAGAGTGTGTGTGTGTGTGTGTGTGTGTGTGTGGGCAGACAAATAAGGAAAAAGATTTTTCCCTCTTCCCCCACTCCCTGCAAGGCCACCACAATCTATCTGTATATATATATACAAAGAAACAGAGGGCCTTCTTTGCTTGTTATATTACCAGAAACTCAAAGTTTTGTCGTCCTTTGTAGACAGACGCCTTATCTACCAATAATACTATTGCAATAAGGTAGGGGAAGGAGTATCAACAGAGAAGTGAACAAACAAGATCGAGAGATAGAAGCGACATGACGGCAAAAACAAACAAACAAACAACAACAACAACAAAAAAAAAATGGTTACACGCGTACACCCCATTCTTTTCTCCCCGTCTCTCTCCTGTTTAAACATGTATACCCCCCCCCCCCCCACAAGTATATATATATATATATATAGATATATATTTATACTGCGATATTGTTATTCATTACGCAGTCCGCCAATCATCGTTGCAGATTTAGGGTAAAACACCTCCCGCAGCAAACGCTGGCCCATAATTGTCAGGGTACGAGATGACATGCCCAACGCCGCAAGATGCTCGTCAACAATTGCAACGGCTTCACGCAACGCGGTACGGGCAGATAAAGCGTCCTCTTCCGAAGAATGAAAATTTCGTGCACGGGTGTACACAACATGCAAGGATGCCGCAAGTCGTCTAAGCCGTACATCCTCAAAGTCGCTTTCATCCTCACTGTTATCACGGAGTACATTCTTCTCCGAATTTTGTTCGTCCTTTGAATCAAAATTAGAAATCATGCTCGCTTCTTCATTCCTGCCAGCCACCGTCGTTTGTTGTTGTTGTTGTTTTTGTTGCTGCTTCTGCATATAATCACTCAATTTTGATGATGCCGCAGCAACGCGGAGTTTCCTGAGGGCGTCGCTCTGCAGCAATCGCTGGGCCAACGCCTTCGCCGCCAGTTTTTTTTTTCTGTCGCCGTCATCATTTCCCAAGACATCCTCCGTTTTCGTACAAGAAACAAATTTACTGCCATCCTGCTGCTGCTCCCGTTTTTTTTCTTCTCCCTCCTCTGCATGATGATGGGTGTCACAGGGACAATGCGGGGCGAGGGGGCAGGAGAACTCCGTCCTCGTGGCCACACGGCAGTGCGAGAACGACAGTGAGGGCGAGAGGAAACATCCATTCTCATAGGCATTAGCAATTTTTATTGTATCCATGCTCGCTCTGTGTGCAGCTTCACTGTAACGTATCAAATCACGTTCCACACGCCGCACCTCACCCGCCAGGTCAAATAACGTACTAATCGCCATCATCGCTGCCTCGCCGACATCATCCTTCTCCTCTCTGGCAGTACCGCTACACACACTGAATGACCGGATATTCTTCTTTCCACAGGCATCATTGTCTTTGGGATTGCTACGGTGGGACGTCCGTGTCACGTGTTCCGCCCCGCTGTCGTCATGAATAAGAACCATGTAAACCTTTAGCACAATAAGCTGAACCCACCGTGAGAGATGCGTGGCGACAAAAGAAAAGGCCTCTAATGTCGTTTGAGGATGCGCCATATGAGTCAGTGTCGAGTGACTACCCAAACTGGCATTATGGTGGTCCTCTGGCGCAGGATCGGTGGTCCCGCATTCCTTTTCGTCCTTTTCATCTCCTTTGCTTTTCAGAGTGGGTCTTGAATTTCCTCCTCGTGTATTGTCTTCCCCTTCCTTCGCATGCCACTCTTCCGCATTGCATGCATGAATGAATGAATGCGGAAAGAGCGGTGGGTCATCCTTAAACCGTCGTTGCTGCTCCGCCTCCACGGTTAGTGTCTGCATCAACGTGTCGGCATACAACATGGCCCGCGGGTAATCCTGTGTGAGGGCACTTACCATGGATGCACGGTGAAGGGCCAAAATAACCTCATAAGTGTGGGTCCGCGAGTACACCTCCAGCGGTGCCGCATCCATGCCGAGTCCACAGGCATCTAGCACTTCTCCAGCAGCAGAAGCCGCTGTAGACTGTTGTTGTTGTTGTTTGCCCTCCTTCATATGGTACAACGCTCCCTCCACGTGCCCCCAAAGAACCTGCGCGATCGACTTTGAAGTGGCCGCATGTTTACCGGACGATGACACAGACGATCTTCTTGACGCATTGGTATTGGTGCTGCTGTTGTTGCCATCATCCCCCGCCCTGCCATCACCACCACCACCACCAGCAGCAGCAGCAAAGGAGTTGGAGGGGTGTGGTGGCTGCAGTATTTCACGCCCCTTCCCCTTCACGAGTATCACCGCGGCAAGTTCGTAGTAATTCGCAGCCAACTCCAGACACTGAAAGTCCTCCAGAACCGTGCCAACGCGCATCAATTCCCTCCACGCACGCAACAGGTTGGAATACGACATCTGTGACGCTTCTTCTCCGAGCAGCACGTCACCTTCTCGCGTTTCCTGAGGACATCCGCCGACGCCGCTCCCTCGGCCAGCATGGATGCCACTGTGGCTCTTGCGACTGCTGTCGGAGGCACTCGCAACGAGCGCCGCATCGTGCCGCGGCATCGGCGAGCCCCGCGATTCCGAGGCATCCCGCAGCAACACAGCCGCCGACATGGCCCCACACAACACACCGTTCGCCAGAGCGTCGTCGCTTGTGGGAAAGTTCAGCTGCCGACGCTCGCGCTCTACGCAGAACCACAATGTGGCGGCGTCGTGGTACGAAATCGCCTCCTCGAGCGTGGCGCCCATGTCCCTAAAAAGGACTGCACGGTGCATGAGCGCCTGCGCTTCCGTGATGCGCGCCGATGGAGACTCGCTGAGTTGATTCTGCTGGCGGAGAAGCAACAGCAGTTGCGACATGCGTTCATGCGCCTCCGCAAGATGTCGACGCCGACCCTCCGCTGTGCCTCCACTCTTCCTGAGCCTGTCAATTTCCGCTAAACGGTGGTGCACATCGGCATAGGAGAGGCCGCTGGTAGAATCCTCCTTGATCATTCAAACGATAATGATGTCACTCTATTCGTATGCCCGCAGATGTATTCCTCCCTCCCTCTTTTCTTTCTTTTTCTCTTCGTTCCCCGCCACTCCTTCACCTTGCAGAGAAAAAGTATTTTGTTACCCCTTTAACGTTCTACAGGGTCAAAAAGTGGAAACCGTGAAACCACAACACTGCCCAACCAAACACACACACACACACACATGTGCGTATGCGTAAATGTGTGTGCAGGCATGTACGTAAAAAAAAGGGGGAAAAAAAAAAATAATAATAAACAAATGAAGAAAAAAAAAATATCACACAATGACATCCAGCCGCCAAAAGAAGGGGTAAAGAACATCACTCTTTCAGTGTGTGCATGCATGGCAATGACATGTCTATTCTTTCATGCATCGGCTAATACAAGGAGCACTCCAACCGTCATATAAATATATAAAAAAATATATAAATATAAGCAAACATCTACGCGTCGTAAAACCCCTCCACCTTACTCAATTACTTTGGTGCATGGAACATCACTACGCAATGTACTGAAATGCTTTTTTTCATTTTTTTTTTTTTCCCTTTAAATATATAAATAAATACATACATATATATTTTTAAAAAGCTCTTCTCTGTACATTCACAGCGGCATTTCACATCTCCGTCCACTCCAAATTGGACGACACACGTCAAGTCAGAAAAAGGCCAAATAAAAAAAAAAAACCAACGATACCAACAACAACAACAACAACAACAACAAAAAACATTTCAAGCAGTCAAACAAGGAATTGTACGTGAATATGGTCATCCAAATAATAATAATAATAACAACAATAATAAAAACAAAATGAGACATGACCACAATAAATAATTAAACTGGAGAATCCATAAAAACTAAGCCAAGTCAACAAATGCAGGGACGTATACATAGGCAATAGCCATGGGTTATTCAAAGGCCTGGTCAAGCATACTAAGCAGTGTGTTGTAGGTTCGCACCTGCGCTCCGGACGGTTCACTGGAGGCCGATTTCTGCTGCGCATGCCGCGTCCATTCCGTGCTGCTAACGCAAGGCGATGCAACAAACTCGACGTTATTCGACGGCTTCATCGGTGATTGTCGCTTTGTCATTCCTCCACCGAGAAAAGAATTATAATGACCGTTCATCGTGTATCCCCCAGAAATGACGGGACCTGAAGCACCTCGCTGGAGAAACGACGATGGTGACTGCTTCTGGTGGTGCTCTTGTGGCTGCATGCCGACAAAGGAGGAGGAGGAAGAAGAGAAGGCGGCCAGCGACCCATGCGAGGCGGATCGAGGAACTGTGCATGGGGCAAATTGATTCCCGCTTCTGGATGCTTCTGATCGCCCCCCGGGCAAAACCGTGTTATTTGGTGTCAGTCGTGCGGGCGGAGTAAATATGCCCTCACCAATTGCCTTTCTTTTCATGTTGGACACCAACGAAAGGGTGACAGTTCCTTGCGCCTTGTTAAGGGAAGAGAACTCGCTCAGGTCCGTTGGTTTCATGAGAACTGTGGAATTCGTACACGGTCTTCTCTCCCCCGTCGCTGGGTGCAGCATCGGTCCCGTCTCCAGCAAAGGTTGCGCGGAGTGAGGCATCGTCATCGCCATCGTCGATTCCACGACCCTTGCATGCACTGTGGATGCACTCTGCTCACTAAATTGACTTATTTTGGCTGCCCGCTCACACCAAAAGTTGTGGCGCAAAAAGAATCGTTCCCACAACTGCAGCTGCGGCTGCCGCACGACGTCCAGAAGAGGACCGAAAAAAAGTTTGTTATCGGCAAGGGAAAAGTGTGGGTTTAAAAGGCCGGAGTGGTGGATCGCGTCGTATGTCATCGCCATACGGCGTGGGTTGCTGCCAGGAGTGGAGTCCCACCCAACAGTCCCCAACGCCGTCCCACCGCCGCATGACTGGTAGAAGCAATGCAGTGGCACGGCAGAGGATGAAAAGAAACCAGTCTCTGTTGGCTCCTGTTCCTCCTGTTCTTCCCCCTCCTCCAGCACATCATGACAATTCTCACCGTCATTGGCGGCTTCCAGTGGCCGATGCCTGTCCGTTCGAATTGTCGTGGCAAATAGCACGGCAAAGAACTGACTGAGTGAAAGGGTCTGTTGCTCGATACCCCACCGATACACATCGGCCTCACAGTTGACCGCAAATGTCCCAAGAATGCCTGCATGCATGAGGTCCACAATCAACAGCAAAAAGGCTTCTGTGAACTCAAAACAGTGCGGATACAAACGTAGCAGCTGATGGACAGCATCCAGAAACTGTAAAATAATGGGCGAACTTTGACAATTCTCCGAGGTAGGAATCCTGCAACTGTCATGGATGTCAATAAAACCCCCATCCGTCACGGTCGCTCCGGTGCTCCAATCACTGTGACTCCCCAACGTCGAGGAACGCAGAAGACAGGGGTGCCCAAATGACACAAACTCCTTCTCCAGCAGCGTAATAAATCCCTCCACGGTACGAAAATAGGGATCAAGAAGAAGCTCCGTCAGTGCACACACCTGCGTGGTGCGATCCCAGCCATCGGAGCAGTTGACAATAACAAGCCGCGCATTTTTGCGGTTATCCGGTTGGGTATATGACGGGGGTGATTGCACATTCTGCTGCTGCTGTTCCAACCATCGCGGTGCACCAGCAGTAGCAGCACCAATACTACCGTTGCCCGTACGGAATGGGATAGGCCTAAATGCACGTCTCCAGACATAGAGTGTGGAAGAACGTGGTATGAAACGATCATTGAGGCCGCCAACGTTCACGCCGGCAGAATTAAATCCATTGGCCGACACGCTCCCGAGTGAGTGCATAAAGTTCAGCGGGGCGCCACCAGCTGCGGCGCCGGTGGCGGCAGGCGGAAGTGCATCTTCCTCAGAAACACCCGCTATGAGACGTGCCGCATCCGTAGCGGTACGGAGAAGACCATGAATGTGTTCAATCCAAGCCGCTGCGGCCTTTTCCGGTGATTCAACCGTGGATGAGCCAACAGGCGACGACACCGGTGCAGTATTATCTTTCCGTGATGTCGCCATGTTACCTGCAGCCCGCATAACAGCAAGAAACGTTGGGTTGTTGTCCAACACTGCTGCAGAAAGTGCCTCATACGCCTCTCGCACGGTATGAATGTTTGCAAGAGAGCAGTACCGTCCTGTCTCCATGATTCGGAAGCCTCCGCCAACAATTGTGTTCGCATACGCGCGTATTCGGCTGCGGAGATCAAAAGTACACACCCGCATGCCACTTGCACGCCGGTACGATTTAAGGACGTCTATTTTAGATGCGGACGCACAAATATTGACGGCAGCTGGCTGCGCCGCACGAACAATTCCAGCCCCAGTGTTCAAATAGTAGTAAGAAAGCGCTTCCACCCTACCGCGAGCCCGCAGATCCGCCGACTGAACCAACTCGTCATCGTCTAAAGAACTCGGCACGACAAACTTCGCAGGATATGAAGAAAAGTGATCGTAACGACTGTTCACACATGATAGGCGCCATTGACGTGTGGGAATGCCCTGACGCATGTACTCTCTCATTGGGGAGTATAACCACCAGAAGTGAAATAACGTCTTCAGCGCCCCCTGACGTGCCTCGGCTTTCTCCTCCTCCAGTGGTGGGGTGACCTCTGTGCCATCCGTGGCGGAGGGCTGCTCGGACGAGGCCGTGGATCGGTGTTCCCGGCGGGATTCCACATCCGCAAAGGCAACAAGGAGGTTTTGTAGCACCTGCTGATAGAACGGCGTGTGTGGGGAAGGTAACACATCGCCAGCAACGAGGGCGAGGGCGGTCATACGCCACTTCCTCTGCGCACTGGCCAAAAAAAGATTGCCAAACGATGCATTCAACCCACTGTTAAGTTCCATGCACACCCGTCGTAACTCGTTCTCTTCCTGGAATGCCAGCCAAACACGGCGGCAGGAACGTGTCTGAAGCCGCAGTACGGTCGCCATACTCGCGTCTGTAGCAGTGAGAGGTCGCCAAATTTCCATCAATGAGACGCGTGGAATCACTAGCATATGTTTCATGTAAATCGCGCCATCGTCCAATGTATTATCCCTACCCCTGTTGTTTCCACCACCGCCACTATTAGTACTATTATTACCGTTACTGTTATTCATGCTCCTCCTCCTACTACTACTACCACTACTAGCAGAACTACCACCACTACTACTGCTACGACTTTCGCTGTTAAAAGCATCGACTGCCGTATTGTTCCGGTTGGTGGCAGCCCACGACTGAGGCGGGTAGTTGTCATCAAACACGCTGGCCAGTATGATGTCGGTGTGTGTAATAAACAAGTGACAAGGGTGGCCCGTGTTATTAAAAAATCCAGCGGCTATCGACGACGCAGACAAGCCCAATTGTGCTGTGTTGTTTTCATTTAAGCACGGCTGGTGCTGTTGCTGTGGCTTTTGTGGGTCCAGGTCATAGAAACGCACAATGATGGTTTTGCCAAGACGTTGACGGAGTAGATCTTCCTTATCTAACATCCCGCGGCTCGGAAAAAAGTCCCCCTTCGCAATCCTCGAGAGTTGACCAGCAACACGCCCATTCGAGGAGGTGTGGCGTATTGAAACTAGACGATGAATCAGCGATGGGAGAAAGCCGCCCCCATCACTGGCATCATTGCCAGGTGTGCTGCACGGCGGCTGACCGCAACCCTCTGAAGGCTCCATTTGGCTCGTTGCCACCGTACCAAACATACCACCGCAGCTAGCAGGCGATGATTCCCTGCCGGAGATAACACCGGCATCCGCACCCGCAGAATGGCCGTCTTCTCCATCCACCCTCTCCCCGGCGTCGGAGTTTCTGAAATGAGATCGCTTGGATTGGACATGGCCTTGCTGAAGTTGAAAGGCCGCCTCAAGCACTTCGCTGCAAACAGACATGAACGGCATATCATGCTCCTTCACTGCCGTCGTCAATCTCCTTTTCATTTCCAGCGGAGTGGAGGTATTGCCATGAGTCTGCAGGGGTACCGCCTCCCTGATCGTCTTCTCCGTTTCTACGCTGGCCCCGCTCCCCCGACTTCCGCTTTGGTTCTTCGTGGCGCTAGCAGGAAATTGCACGGAGGCAAGGCTTGATGGAAGCAGTGGGCGTGGAGGTGTCATGCGTCCGGGTGTCACCAAACTGTCACCATGCGGAGCCGGGCTTTTTTCGTTCTTCGTGGGATATTTTTGCGCCGGCGTTATCTCTGGATGCACCCGAGAGAAAACCTCCTCAGCAACCGCACCTGCTCCTGCCTGGCTCACGTGACTTTCTGGACGTGGGTGCACCACAAGGGCGGCATGCATTACGGACGCCCACTCCACAATCATCCCAACGATGTCAATAGCCCCTTCATGCTGCGGTCGTGTACATGTGGCTTGCTGCAGGTACCGCACCGCCCGTACAGCCATGTCCACACGACTCCAATTGCTCCATTCCGGACATGGCGAACCCCCGCTGCTTGTCAGAACCCCACAGCGCTCCAGGAGTGCTACATTCCACACAGACGTCTGTCGAAGCAACGAGAGCAGAAACGCTTCCTCCTCCACATCTTTGACTACTCCGTCCTCTTCTTCCACTTCTCCGCTGCTGTCCGTCTCTGCTGGAACAGTGACAGGCGACGCGTTCACGACATTCTCCTTTGTCACAAACAGTGACGGTCCTTCCACCACGTCCCTCAGCGGCGGCTCGTGTTGTTTTGGACGCAGCGGTATAGACTGCACGCACCGCAGTCGCAGCGATGGACGGTCTTGATTCCCCCCACCCGACTGCCTAATGAGTCGCTTCACTAGATGCGGCAATGACATGTCGACTGGCCGCTCAACGACAAATTGAAGGCCGTCGCTCCCCTTCATTTTGCAGCTAGCACACAGAAACAAAAATGGTCCCAGACCGGCTCCACGTATTTGTTGCCAATGGCGCAGATACCCCGCATCCGTCCTTGCGCCCTCGACGGCCTCCAGTACATCAACCTCCAGCAGCAAAAGAAACCGATCGCAGGAAACCGCAGAGGACGTTTGCTCCGGCTGCGGCATGTCACTTTCTTGCAAACGCAAGCCGTCTCTCACGTCCTCATCCCTCTCCCCTTGTGTGTTCCTTTGGGTGCACACGAGCGCCGACACCCCTCGACTCATTGAATCGGTCTGTGCGTGCGTGCTTTTCCCCGCACTCCTCAGCACACGCACGGAACAAAAACAACAAAAACAAAGCAGCAACAACAAATTCTTTAAGCGTTTTCTTTTTATATTTGTATTCTTTTCCTTTTCTTCTTTTTGTTCTCCTAAACAGACTTTAAAAGAAAAGAAGAAAAAAAAAAAAGGAAGAACGACCACATGATTGTGCAGCAACAAATAACAAAAAGCAGAAAAATGGGGAAGCATCACACATGCCCTTCGGGGGTTTCACCAAAGAGGGCACATAAACGGCAACAAAAATATGTTTTCCCTTTTCTTTTTTTGTTTTCATTTCATCATCATCATCTTCTTATGTGCGTTTCTGATGTCTCTTAGTTGTTTTTCTTCTCACGCGTAACGGTATCCACGTCATCACCCCCATCGCCAGTCAACTTCTCGGATTCTTCTCTCCGTTGAGTGCAACCGTTGTGCTGCTTTCGCAGTTGCTTCCAACGCCGACTTTTTTCCTTTCTTGTCTGCGCGTCCATTCTCCCAATGCGCAAAGTGAAGAGAACGGCGTCTACAAGAAGCATGAAAAGTAGTCCAATGGCACCACACACGATGCATACTTGTGCGGGGAGCCCACGCATGTGCGCCAAGTAGTACCCGGCTGCCCCACCAGAGAGCGCCATAATTTGCATATCAAACCCAATGGAGGCATCACGCAAAAAGCTTGCAAAGGATTCCCTCTGTTTCTCTTGCTGAAGGGCAGAGCCATGCGTGGAACCACTGCGGCTACCTGTTCGCACCATGTCCTGATAGTGTTGTGACATCATGGCATGCTGAATGTTTTCAATGCGTCTGTTCTTTTCTTTGCGGTGCGGGTTATCACTGGGTGACACAGCAGGGTTGATGATAAGACCCAGGGACGAGGCGGAGCTGCGAGAGAAGTTCTTTTTCTCGTCGCCGCTGCTGCTGCTGCTGCTTGTGGTAGTGGTGGTGGTGGTGTTATTGTCGCTCCGTGGGACAGCCGCAATCTGTACAGAACACAACGCAACGATTTGACGCAGCGAAAGGCCTTGGATGCAGCGGCATACATGCACCGGTACAAGCACGGCAAAATCATGTCTAAAAATATCTTCCTCCTCGGTACTTTTGTTGTTATTGTTGGCACAACCGTGATGTTTTTCGCCCGGCCTCACATCTGTGGACTTCGACGGTGGCAGTACATGCCGCAGTTGCATTCCAACGGCACGACGCACTAGCCTAAGAAGACACTTTGACACCCAAAGCTGCTCCACCGTCTCACACCGCATGACAACACCACCGTCCGTATGCTTTTCCTCATTGTTACTCCCTCCAAAGCGTGGCAATGATGATGGCGATGGCGGCATGCTCTTAAGCCATTGAATGACATTCTGCACGGTGAGCCGCTCTACAGCGTTTGATAGCGGCGTGCCTGCTTGAATCCTCAAAGCCATCGAGGCCAATCGTCCCTCGTCGTCCCCTTTTCCATGATGACTGTCGTCACTATTCAAGTGACATGTGGATAAAGTGGTGGCACCGTCCGCCTGAACCTCCTTGGCAACACGGTGACAGAGCCAAAGGGCGTACTGGAGCTGTGATGGTGGCTGACTCTCCTGCAGCGCCCGCCAACTTTCTTCAACAAACTTCCGCACAACAGTAGGATCGCCGTATTGATCAAGCAGAAGGCACAATGCAACATCCCTCGCTAAAAAATACACCATCACTCCAAACGCTATTAGAAGAGAGAAAAGAATAAAGAGGGAAAAAGGGGTAATACACAAAATAGGCATGCAGACCAATCTACAAAGTGCATGTAAATTCAATGCCAACACGCCACACACACACACGCCACACACACACGTGCATTACACAAAAAAGGGCCATTTCTCCGCCTTTACTCCCATTCTATTGGATTCCGCCCTTCGTCTCTTCTCTTAATTCACGCGCAAGACCGTCTCCCTCGTGCCCATGTCATTCTGCCGAAGGAACTCTTTCCACTTCGCCTCATAACCCTGCAGTAAACTGTTGATGGCTTGCAGCAGCGCCGTCCGCAGCACCTCCGCGTTATTCGCCGCGAACTCACCACCGGTTACATCCCTGGTGGCGTGTTTATCCTGGCCGACGCGATCCTCCCGTGTCCCGTTCTCCACCGCGGTGCGAATGGGTAAAACGACAAGGATGGGGCTTGGCGGATAAGACGGTGTTGCGTCAAAAGCAAAAATTTCTTCCGTACACACTGTGGAAGGAACTTCATCTTTTTTATCCCCACGAGTAAAAAACCCACTGAACTTGTTCCGCGTCGTGTGCTTGCCGTTGCTTTGGATGCTGCGTGGCCGCTTCACGCAAGTGTTGCACTTAAGGGAATTCGTTTGCAGCTTTTTTTTCACACTACCCACCGATCGGCGCATGGTGCGTTGGTACGCGCTACGCCACGTCGTCACCTCTTCCCTCGTCTTACTCCCCCTCCTCATCGGTGCAGCTGTCTGCTCTGCGCATTGCTGCCATGTCGTCCAGAACATCTTTTCTACTGCCTGCTGCAGTCTCATTTCTTCCTTCTCAGAGGGAGTGTACAACAAAATGAGTACGCCGGAAAGAACAAAGGTCCGCTTCTCGACCGCCTGTCGTATCAACAACCGCAGTGTGCACAGTCCCTCCTCGTACTCCTCACAGTTCGAAGTGTCAAGCGTAATTACAGCGGTGATGTTCTCAACAGGCCGTTGCGTTGATGTGGAGCTTTCCCCCTCCTCCTTCTCTTCCCCCTCCTTTTCTCCCGACATCCATCGAAGCAGCGGCGTGTCACGGTAGTCAATACCATACAGAGCAAGTTGGGTCTGAAACGCAACCGAATGTTGACGTGAATAACACCATGCGGCTGCTTCTTGTGTGGCATCAAGCTGAGAAGAGGGCTGTCGACTCCATTCTGCTGCCGGTGTCAGGTGCGACGCTGTGGACATTTGCACGGAGTGGAGTTGCTCCCACAGACCAACCAACTCTCCCCCATGATTACTGTCCTTCCCTCCCTCAATTTCATCGTCATCATCATAATCCTCGTCCTTGTTCTCCACACTGTACAAAGTATCCCTTGCGAGTAAAGAAGCCCCCTCTTCTTGAGGCAACAACAACGCCGTGACCCAACGTCCCAGAGAGAGCGGCCACATCGCTGATGCTGAGTAGAACGCATCCTCTGCAGCAAAATTACGCATGGACGCCGATGCACGGCGACTCCCTAGCAACGAGGCACGAGAAACGGAGTGGCGCCAAAAGAAAAGACCGGCGTCGTCCGTGCAATCGTTACGCATGCCACTCCCAAAAACAATTACCGTTGAGGCGAGTTGCAGCATCGGCGCTCTCGACTTCATTGCTCCACTTGGGAAGTGTTGAGGCATGCAGGGCACCATGGTGGGTGTGAAACCACGACAGAACCACCCAGCAACTCCTCGTGCCCGCGCCTCGGGGTCGCTGCAAAGAACCTCAGAGAGAAATCGACAGGCCACCGCATCTTCGTAAGAGGCTGTGAAGAATTCGAGCAGGTAACTCATGAAGGCATACATCCAACGCGGCTCATTCGTGCCAACCGAAACGACCGGCTCACCCAAAGTTGATGCGGAAAGCAACGGCTGCTGCTGTTTTTGAGTCAGCCATGAGGTCCGAACAAAAGACACGAGTCCGTCGGGCTCCGCCGACACCTTCCGCTGCCGGTTCAGGCATGCGCGGACGGTGTCTCGGTACGACGGCGCACGCGGTTTGTTTCCTGCCGACTTTGTTGTTGAAGGCTGGGGTAACTCCGAAGGGGCGGCGGGTGACGTCACGAATGTCACCTTTCGCATGCCATGAACTTCAGGCAGCGACTCTTGCGGCAAAACTTCCATACGGGCTCGATGACGTGGTGGCTGCGATTGCATCGCAGCGGAATTCCCAATCTGCTGCTGCCGCCGTTCCTCCTCCTCGAATGGCAGAATTACCTGAGAATTTTCCAAAGACGAAAAGCAAAAGCTGTTCGCATCGTCCGATTTCCCTGACTGTGGCGGCTGGCTTTGTTTTCCCGCTCCTTCTTCTCGCGGAGGCTGCGGTGAAAAGAATGCGGATGGCTTTGATGACGATACGTCGTCACGACTGGGTACGGCCTCCCCACGTTGCCGCTTCGCCCTTGGCTGCTCCGTCTCACTCACCGACATCTCCTGCGGCGCATGCAAGGCGCCAAATGACGCGGCGTGGAGGCCGTCAGGAAGGGGCGGAAATGACGGGAAGGATGCGGTTGCCTTCCTTGTTGGTAACGGGGGTATTGGCGACACGTCTCCACGGTTTTCCGCGGCCCCCGCTGCCCGGCTCACGCCAACATCCTCTTGGAGAAGTGGCGCCTCCTCTAAATCAGCCGGGGCCGTCGTTAGGCTCTTCGGCGTTTCAACAATGGCCCGCAGATTTGGTGACATCTCGCCAGGGTAATCCGTCGGCAATGGCGACACACAGACAGCGAACTCCGGCGGCGGCAGGCTCAACCACGGCCCAGCAGTGTGCTGGGGTCCTGACGCCCGCTCCAAGTTCAGCGTCACCATGTCATTATTATTATTATCATCATCATTATTAGTCTTATCATCATTTTCATTCGTGATATCGGGCCTGCTGGCATCACTGCTGTATTGGGAAGGTGCTGCCGTGTTTAGCGGTGCATCCCCTGAGGTCGCCACACTGGCTTCATCTTTCGCCATTGCCTGCAACTCCTTCTCTATCTTGGCGTAAATGGGATCGCCATGAAGTGAAGTCAACAGCGCCTTGGCGGCACGGACCGCCTCATCGTTTTCCTCCAAAGCGTCGTGTTCCGTATCCCCTGATGTTCCCATCACTTCTTCCGGTTCGTCCTCCACTGACTCCGCGTTGTCATCATCCCCCTCACGATCGCTGCCGGCATCATCATTGAAGACAGAGCTGTGCGTGGACTGGCTCTCCTGGTCCATCGCCTGCACAACTGCTTTCAGTTGCTCCTGAGAAAGCCCTTTTCTTTTGTCACTCAAAAAAAGACTGCCTTCGCTGGTATCCTCCCCGTCATCTTCATCATGATCTTCATCGTTTTCATCCTCTGTATTATACCTGCGACCGTGTGAAGACATGTGCAAGGCATACCACGTCAGCATTCGCTCCCGCGCTGCCTGCACGCCAGCAAACCACTCATCTCCCGCGTCCGTCAACTCCAGAGCGGCGACATCATCATTGTATGGAGGACAGTATGGCTCCAGTAACCGCATAAGATTCACAGGACATGTCATGACAGAAAGATCCCCGTGTGTCGCGATAGGATCATCCCCAAAGGCATCGGGGAATAACTCAAACGCATGTCGCCAGACGGTAAACCCAAAGAACGACGGCAGTGTCGGTAGGCACAGGCGTGGCTTCCCGCTGGTGTCTTCCAAATGGCGGTAGATGGCCTCTTGCGTAATGTACGGTGAGGAGTCCGGCCGTGCGACACGCAGGATAGTACGGTCTTCACTTAACTGCGCAGCAAGGCCCATCGTCTCGAGCAGGTCCACACAATGGATCTCCTCCATCAGCAAAAGATCGGCCAGGTCCGCAATCGTCATCTCACCTCGAAGACGCGCCCTGCCGTACACAACCGAGTTCGCCGTCACGAGATCAACCACGGCCCTAAAACGAGCGTAAGAGAAGGAATGGAAAACCATCGCCCGCTGCAGTACTGTGAGCGGCTCGGTGCGGCAGAGATGAAAAAACCGAAACCATTCGCGCTGGCACCAACTATGAATGAGCTTCAGCACCGTCCGCACATGTTGCGTACGGGCCATCTGTGGCAGGTACGCTAACTCACGATAGACACTGCCAAAGTCAACACTGCTTGAGGGAGGCTCAAATACATGCGTTGGAGGGCCCTCAGCCGCAACCTGCACCTCAATGACTTGACAAAACCCCGCCCGATTCTCCACCTTCGTGAGCTGCGAGAGGCCGTAGAAGAGAAGAATGGCGGAGAACATCTCCGAATTTCGCAGCCGCTGCTCCGCGCGATATGACAAGACCAAATCACTGAAACACTGGGCGATGGACTCGAGAAAGTTCTGCTTGTCCGCCATGTATCGTCCGCAGCCCTGCACCGTGCGGCACAAATTTGCCCCGCCAACCGCGAGTGCTGTGACGGTGAACTCCAACCACTTTAGCCGTCTTTTCGACTCCCGTACGGAGGCTGGCAAGACACCATCGGCGTAGTCATGGCTACTAAGCGACTGCGTCCCCACCGGCGGCAGCTGCGGCACCCAATTCGTCCGCACCTGCCGCATGCGGTCCCACAAGTACCGCCATACATCGAAGGGCGCGAGAAACACCGCTGGTGTGTGCGGGTCGCGGAGGTAGTGGTGGACAAGAAAGTGCATCGTCTTCTCCAGTGCCACGGGGTTGCGGAGGTGACTCGGCTCCACCACCACACCCGCTGCCGATCGACCGTATGCTTCAACTGTCGTCGGCAACAGCGGATGGCGACTTTTGTAATGCTGCTCAAACGACGGTGGTGCGGGTCGCTGCGACATGTCACTGCCGCCGCCGCACAGCGCCGCGAGGCAGCCACGGCGTGGCGGCTCATCTGTTCTAAACTCACAAAAGGCAGCGAAGGGCGGGGCGGAGAGGGCCTCCCGCACGCCAAGATCATTCTCAACCATCCCCCCACCTACGGTTTTGCTCCCAATTTTCCTCTTTTCTTCTCTTTTTTCTACTTTTCGCTTCTCCCTTAACTCGCAACGTGCATGTCGACATAAACGGCAAGAGACGGAGGTGTAGAGATGGGCGGGGAGTTACACACACAGAAACAAAGAGAGAGAGAGGGAGAGGGAGGGAGGGAGAAGCGTCAAAAGGGCCCAACAGCGAGGGGGGCAAGGAAACGCAGGAGGGGTAAAGAAAAAAAAAAAAACACCGTGCCCAATACACATGGAAGAAAAGGATTAACCGCGTCAACAAACAGAGAGCAAAGAAGGAAGAATATAAATAAAAATAAAAAAATAAAAAATACAGCTTCACACACACACAAATACATACATAAAATCAAACACAGAAATACAAATAACTAAATAAATAAATAAATAAATGGGTTCCACCAGCCAAGCTTGCAGCAAAGCCGTGCAGCGAAAAGGCGGTTACATGAGCCCAGAACAGGAAAAAAAAAAAAAAAAAAGAAAAAGAAAAATAAAAAGACCAAACCGGTGCACGTACAAATGATGCCTCACTTCCAAATGCACATGCATCGACGGGTGAACATCACAAGTGTGTACGGCGTGTCTGTGATCCATGTCAGTTCACATATTTATGCACGCCCGCAAGGCACGCACTCAGTCCGTCATGTCTGAGTGGGTGCGCGATTGTCTGTTCGGGAGGCGATGGCAAAAGAAGGAATAAAAACACCACCAACAATAAAAACACAAACACACACACACACAAAAAAAAAAAAAAACAACAACTTATAAACTTCTTTCAAAGGTCCCCCCAACAGCAAAGAAAGGGGGCCCCTGCCGTCCAAACATAACGTCCTTACCGTACGGAGAAAGTAAAAAGGAAAAAAAAAAGAAAAGAAAAGAAAAGAAAAACACGCACAACGAAAGCAAACAAACAAACAAAAAGGCAAAAAAAGCAAACAAATTTGCGTGAGCATACAAAAGAAAAATATAATCCTTTTCAATTCCTCCAGCAGCGATATATATATATTTTCCTCTTTTACCCACCCACTCAACTACTCTGGTTAGTTTGTCCAAATGCCGTACTGATATGCAAGTGCAACCACCGCGCGCCAGGCTCCCACCCAAGCCGTGAGTGTCACTAACAGCGGGAATGCCTCCACTGAAACCTGAACTATGCACCACAGCCCACTGCAAAATTTGTGGGTGATTGTTGACGGCGTGTGTTTTGCCTCTTCTCGCTTCTTCAGAGCCTGATAATACTGCGATGGGACAAGTGGCGCATTGTACATGGGGTGGCGATGCCTCCTGATCCGCCGCGTTGTCGACGCCATGGCCGCTGTTTTTCTCGTTCCGTTGCAGTTCGTATTCCATGCGTTCAGTCCTTCGACGCTTTTCTGGGTGGCCATGAAAAACTGAGCCCCTGCCAATCCACCCAAAGCCGCACTTGGCGTGAGCGTTGTGCCTTTATTCATACCAACTGGCACCTCGAGTGGAACAGGGCTCACTTCTCTTGCTTCGCTTCGTATCACTTCCGCTTCCTTTTCTCCGTTCCACAGCAGCGGCAGTGTGGGGCTCGCCACCGTACCATGGGGCTGCCTGGGTGCAGCGTCACGAACCTGCCTCACATCCACCTGCATCAGCTGTGCAAGCGAGGCGGTCATCCGCATGCAACGCCAACGCTCCCACCTACAACGCAGTAAAATGAAGGCAGGCACGGCAAACACAAGCGGTGCCATAAAGAATCCACCACTTACTGCAGCAAAAAGCACTAGCCTCCCATAGAGCTGGTCGCTAATGGGAACTGAGGCCGCTTCTTTACAGAAGGGAGGTACGTACACCACGTTACTTTTATGGGATGGTCTCGCAGATTCTAAATCTGGTTCCCCAAAGGCCCAAAACTCATAGCAGCGCGCAAACCGTCCAGCAACCAGCAATGATGATACCATGAACACAAGAACCAAAAAAGGAAGACGGAGTAGCAGCACTTCGGTTATGTGGTAACAAAACCAATTTTCTTCCAGTGTGATAAGCCGTAAATGCTTGAAGAGCTCCAAGACACGGACACCGTCACCTGCCCGTGTCGTCGCGTGGTACTGCTCTGGGTACAACATAAACGGGCTCGATAAATTAAAAATAACACTGCCACTTACCGCAGCAGCAGAAGCAGCGGCAGGAGGAGTCGAAGACGCGGATGCACCACATTGACCTCCAGAATGCCCATTCTTTTCACGGTTGCCGCAATAACCAACACCCAGAGCACCTCGGCCTTTGTTTCGGTACCAACAACGCGTGAGTCGCGACCACGAAGTGGTGGTGTGAGTGGTAGAAGAAACAAGGCCAAAAGAATGGCTTTCTCCCGTCCTACGTCGTGCCGCCGCCTGTTTTGACCGCAAAAACGCCATCGCAGCAAGTTCCTGACGTTCCTCAGGCTCCGTCACAGGATTCAAGTGGGCAAGCATGCTGCTCACATGCAAAACACAGTATGGCACCCACGCAAACAACACGATGCCAGCAATAAAGCTAAGTACAGCGGTGAAGCGTAACACGCCAACGGGTGAGCTTTCCAAAATACCGAGGGCACACACCATTTTTCTTCTGCTGCCGGAATCGGTGTCTGTGAGATTGACCGGAACAGCCGTCCATAGCAATCGCAGCGGCGATGGAGCGGCAAGGGACGGCAAGCTCATTGTCGTCCCTACAAAAGCCAAAAAGGTGGACACCAGCGCAAGGGTCGTGAATAAAATAAATGCCACATAAAATGGTGTTCCAAATCCACTTGCAGCAAAAACACACTGATCGAAACGTTTTACAGATTGTTGTCCTCTTTCTTCTTCTTCTCCTTGTGGCCTTTCTTTCCTAACCGTTCCGCGTCGCCAGAGCAATGGCATAAGATAAAAGTGATATGTCCCTGCCTTAATGGCACTGACACCAAAACCAAAGAACCATGAGAGCTGCGCCACGCTTAAAGAAAGGTTCAACACCATGTAGGCCAGAACCTGCCATTCCGTCCAAAACTCAGCCTGGCTTACGGTGTCCTGCAGCCACCAAAGACTTGGCACACGGCGACCCCACGCGTGATCCACAATGAAGCGAAGCGGGATATCAAACACGCTGGGTGAGTGCTTAAGCGTCCATACCAATTGCACCGTAAGCATTGTAAAGAAAAGAAGCCCAAAGACGGTCAGGGAAACAAGTTTAAAGATGCCTGTTTCCCACCAACACAAACGGCTACGTGCGGCAGTTGGGCCTGCAAAGCATACAGCGAGGGCGAGAAATGGGAACAGAACCAGAAATCGAGGTTTGGGTCCAAGTTGACATCCCTGCGATGATTCCATCATGGAAAGGGTTTCAAACGTCGAGTGATCCCACAAGGTGCAAATGATTGCCGCTGCGCCACCGGTCAGCGTAAAACCAAAGGACATAAATAAGATAGCCGCGGCAAGCAGTGCTCCCATGTACAACAGTTTCGTCAGGAGGTACATCCACCGTCCACCAAAACGATGCGTGAGTTCAAGAAGACTCGGGGACATGAGCAACCAACTGCCATCAGGGGACGCGTCAAGGCTACGGCGTCGTTCATTATTATGTCCCCTGCTGCAACCCAATGGAATGGTGGGCCACAAGTTCTTGGAAAAACACAAGGAGTAAAGTGCCACGATATGCCGGTACACCAGTACACCAAGCAGCAACGCCACCACCACCACAAGAAGGCCTGAGATAACGATGGCGGAAGTAAGTACCGAAAGTCCAATAAACAACGCCAGCGGCATGAAAGTTGCCATGATAACAAAATGTGATTTAAGAGCAGCAATACAGACTTTCACTCTACATTGTTGATTTACACGGGTATCCCTATCGTCATTGCCTATGCCACGACCATCATCACTCATAATTCCTCTCTCCCAAGCCGATGCACCGTCCATTGCAGGTCGTTTATCATTTGTCATAAATTTTCCTTTTTTTTTTTCTTTTTGATAATCATGATCGTTGCAATAATAAGCGCCGTCGTTTCCTCCATGTAGACATCGCATGCCAAATGCCTTTTCTTCATCTTTTTTAGAGTTGTTTCTCAAGGACGAAGGCGCCAAAGAAGTACCGTTGTCATAATTCCTATTCTCACTACTAACAGAACAGTTGTCAATGTTTTGTTGCACAGAACTACATGATGCCATTGAACATATTTCCATAGCATATGCCTCCATGGAGTATTTTCTCCAATCGTTACTCCAATACCGTGAGTGCTGCTTCATCCCACTCATCTGGTCATCCGAATTATCACTATTACTTCTGCCGCTTTCATCTCTCGCCCAATATGCATCTAGTTTTTCCCTATCTTCAAGAAAGCTGCCGGGTACCCTTGCAGGGTCCAAACTAATGGACTCAACTTCCTTCTGCCGCGTATACACATAAGCGGCAGCACTGCTAACCGATAAATTCTCCATTTGCCCTCGCCTTGTCTCCGCCGCAGCTGCCATGGCTGGTGGTGAGGAGACGAAACCCGAATTTACTTCCGCTGCTTCGCCGCTCATATAAGCCGTTTTTGGTTGGGTGAACTCCTGAAATTGTGCCCCCGCATCAATACCCTGCAGTTCGGGCAGGAGAACACCGTGCCGACGGGTCCGATTTACGCTGCAGATCCATCGTTGCACTTCACGCTCCTCCAAATCAATCGTTCCGGGAACAAAAAACAGCCGCAACATGTCGCCCATGCGCGGCGCATGATCGCCCAACAAATACCCAATGCCTACAGCTTCCCTTATTCTTGTTGACTCCGTCAATGCCATGGAATCGGTTTGGACACCTGCTCCCGCGAAGGACTTTGATTTTCTTCTCCATCGTAACCATCGCCCCTTGACGCTGTCAACATGCGAAGTTTCAAATCCATCATTCATCGTGTGTGAGGAAAAAAGGAAATGTTGCTGCTGCTGCTCTTCCTCCCTTTCTCTATACACGCCATGGAGGCTGCAAAGTTCCATCTTCACACCTTGCATGTTTGGGGACGTTGGTGCTACACATGACTTCTTCTGTGAATTTAGAAGTAGTGATGTTTTCTCTCCCCAGCTGTTGACGGTTTCATTATTTCCGTCATCTGAACACCGCCATGCAACATGATTACTGCGATCATTCCACCGACATACTCCCAATGAGGCACTCTCGTTCCTCCCACACTTCAACGACGTGCTAACCTTTCCTTCAAGACTGTTGGTGTGGGAATCAGGCGCTTCATACCTCCACACCTGGGATGATAATGCCGATGTCACAAGATCTTTCGGCTCCTCACAACGTGGCTCCTTCTTATTCTCCTGCTGCTGTTTCCAATCAACGAAGTTCGACGTACTGGAACGACCAATTCCTGACTGAAAACATTTGTCGCATCGCACCTGTAATCGTCCCGCACTCATGCCAGTTCCAACGCTCAAAAGGAATTCGCTAGAATTTTGCTGCTGTTGTTGTTGTTGTTGCTGACGGTGGCGGTGGAGGTGACTTCCGTCTTCTTCAACGTCGTCTTCGTATGCGTCAAAAGATTCGGAATACTTCAATTTCACATGGGAAAAATCCCCTTGCACCTGCCTTTTCCCTTCCGCATCTTGTTTGTTTTTTCTGGACCCACGGCCCCTGATATCATCGGCGCTATCGGCATCCATTCTGGACGTGGAGGTTGGGAAGTAACGTATCGCCTGCAGTGGCGTGTCGTCAGGAGTGCAAGAAGTGCAGCACACGGTGCTGCTCATCGTTGTTGCTGACAATGACGATGCTGACGACGCAGCTGCCGACGATGCTGCACGGGATTGAGCAGTAGTCATGACTTCAGGGGCCGCCACTCTTTTCTTACCCCTGAACCCCTATCTTTTCGACAATGTGCGCTGCCCACGATACCGAGACAGTAAATAAGATCTTCTCCCCTAGAGATTGAAGGGACTTTGAATGAGGAAGAGTAGGAGCGTGTGGGTGGGAAGGAAAGACCACCCTGCCTTTACTTCCTGCTGCCTGCCCTTCTTACTGTTGAAGGGGGGCGGGGAGGTTGAGTTATCCGTTTACCCTTTTCCTTTTACTTATTTGTGTGAGAAATACCAACGACTAGGCACACACAAAGAACCTTCCCTTTCCTCCCCAGTCTTTTTTCTCTTTTTATTTTTTTTCCTTCTTCTTAAATTTCAAATTTTTTAAATGATTTCTTCCTTTCCGTTTCCCTTTTTTTTTCTTTTCTATTTGTGTTTGGTCCCCAACAACAATTAGAAGAAATAGACGGCAGACAGAAGTTGCGTATGTGTGCGAAGATGAAAGAAACAGTGAGGCATTCAAATGACAGTGACGGTTGCCTCCGTCACGTTTAAATGCCACAATGAGAGAGAGAGAGAGAGAGATGATTCTTCATTTACCCCACTCTCTCCCTTCCTCTCTGTTTTTAAACTCCACATGTACACACACACACACTAATAAGGCGTGTCATCCCCATACACGCACCGAACGCGCTCCATCAAGAGTTCTACAAGAGGCTGCTCGCCACAATTCTCCTGCTTTTCATCCCAGTCATCATGGCTCTCGCTGCTGCCATCGCTGGAAGCGGCAAAGCTGACGTTCAATGCCTTCTTCTTGTTACCCGATTGTCGTCGGAGCGCGGGCAGTGCTGCGGCCGTTGGCTTTCCGAGGAGTTGGGCCTGCAAGTAATCCAAAAGAAAACACCGAATACGGCGTCGCATGGCCGCAGACAACGAACCGCCGTCTGCACGAGAGCTCTTACGGCCGCTGGTCGCACGCAATGAATGCTGCAACAACGCCTCCCATCCACCCTCCACCCCGAGAAAGTTACGCGTGATGTCATCGCACGCGGCTCGCAACATATTCTCCTTGTCGTCGTCGTCGGCCATTTGGACGGGCGCCTCCTGCAGACGTTCGTGATGACGCGGCACCAACGTCGCATTTGCCTCGAGTGCCCGAATAAACGCCATCAATTCCGACACCACCCGTGCAACCCCGGACCGAACACAAGATTCATGAGAGGCCAGCGCATCGCTCGCCTCACGACACGCGACGAGCGTGCGGCGGCGGTGCGCCTCCTCGAGGTGTTTGATCGCATCGCGATGTTGTCTCTCCAGAGCACTCATCAGCCCTTGGGCCGTCTCCTGCAATGTATGCATCTGTTGATGGAGCGCCTTACGATCCTCAACGAGAGCACGGTGGCCAATTTGCCTTGAAGCGAGCTGCCTTTCTAGATTGGCGTTGCGTGCTTCCAAGGCCTGCAACTTTGCCTGCCATGCATCAAGTTGCGGGCCGCGCAACGGTTTCCCTTTTGTTTCTGGTGGTGGTGGTGCTGTCATTGACGAGGGCTCTTTTGTGGAGAGTGTTGTGTTGACATCAACCCCCGCAATATTATCCAACAGATTTTCTTCTAATTTTGCCCGGGAAATCTTGTCCCGTATGCACGTCTGCAAATTGTTTTTACACTTTCCCTGTGAGTGGTGATTTTGACGCATGCGGAGAAGCGAGTCTGCCGCCTCCGCGAGGCGCCGTCGCTGCTCACTCTCCTCCAGCCGCTGCATTTTGGCCCGTAGCTCGCGCCATGCACACTCACGCTGCTTCAATCGGCTTCGAAGTGCATCCAACTGCGCGGCAGCGTTTTTCTCCCGTGCGGCGCACTCGTTGTTTGCCTGCTTGGTCTCCGCAAGCATGGCTTCAAGCGAAATGCGTTGCTGCCGCAGTTCTTGCAGTTCCCCGGCGACCTCTTCCATTTGACGCTGCGTGCTATCTAGTAATGCTTGCAACGTTCTATACTCTCCTACGGCCTCTTCACTCTTTTCTTCAAGTCTTTCTGCACGTTGTCGCTGATGCTCTGCTGCCTGCTGCATCTGCTGTAGTTTTGCCTGGTGGAAGCTGCGCATCTCCTCTGTGAGCTGCTGCTGCTCCAACAACTCCTGCCGACTGGCGGCAGTGACCCGCTGCAACTGCACACGGAGCGCATCCCGTTCCGCCACAACACGTGTTTCACGCTCTTCAGCCTCGCAACGGCGCCGCTCACATCGCATGAGTGCCTCCTCCAACTGCCGTGTGCTCTGCACACACTCCTCCACCTCCGCCTGGAACAACGCATGTCGCCCGTCCTCCTCCGCCAGCAATTTCGACTGCGCGTCACGCGTGAAGCGCAGCTGCGCCATTTCCCTCACCTTCGCATCCAACTCCTCCTGAAGCCGTCGACGCGCCTCTGCTTCTGCCGCCCGCTCCTCGACGTGCTGCTTTTGGGCGCGCTGCAATTGTTGCTCAGACGACTCCATCCGCAGTGTGAGTGCAGCATTTTCGTCAACCAATTGCTGCATTTCAATTCTCAACGCCCGCATTTCCTCGACCAATTTCAACTGCTCCGCCTCCGCACGGCGGCACTTTGCCTCCGCAGCAGCCTTTGCACGTTCATATGCCCCCGCCTCCGCACGCATACGCTCAAGCGTACGTTGATGTTCCGATCCTTCACGACGCAACGCCTCCTGCAGCGACCTCACAAGGCGGTCCCGTTCCAGTTGACATTGCGCCTTTTCCTCGTTGGCCTTTGCAAGCTGTTCTTGTGTGAGACACAAAGCTGCCTTTGTTGCGTGCATATCATCCACAACTGTGGATAATTCCTGCATTTCTTGTTGAATAGCGTCAAGATCCTGAGCGTGCCTGGCCTCACGCGTCCTTGCCTCATGCTGTGCCTCGGCCAGCTGCGCCGTGAGCTGTTCAATGTGCGCCATGAAGTGCCTTGCATCCTGCTGCCGCTCCGCCCTCTCGTCCTGCAGCTGTGAATCCGCACGCTGAAGCAACATGGATGGATACAACTGCCCTGAGTCCTTCAAGGGCCCTGTTTCGGAGGCAGTGGTCATGGGCGTGCTGCCATCCAGAAAGCCTCGCAGCTGCTGCATCAGAAGTTGTTTTTCTCCCCGAAGTTCATCTAATTCTCTTCGTAGTTGTCTCGCCTCCATCTCTCGACGTTGCAAGTTACGCGCCTGCTCGTCCATAAGCATGTCCTTGCACCGCAGTGCGCGTAACACACGTTCTGCAATGTCGTCCTCATTCTCCTCATTTTTCTCTATCCCTCCGTCACGGTCATTGCCAGCATTTGACCCGTCGTCACTCCATCGCCTATCGGCCGTGCGCCTGTCACCATCCCCTCCCTCTGCTTCTTTTATCGTCGAAGGGCTGCTGCTGCTGGCGTTCCAATTAACGTCACCTCTGGAGCGCGGAGGAAGTGACAATGGCTGCTGCTGCTGCTGCTGCTTTTCTTCATGGTGTTGCCATCTTTCGCTGCCACCACCGCCGCTGACACTTTGATTTCCCAGGGACTCATTGAAGCGGGCCTCCACTACAAGGATAGAGGGGTCAAGCGAGGAGTCACCATCGCCGCTCATGAGAGCAGCCTCTTCTCTAAATCTAAAAATGGCGACCCCGACTTCTGCCAATATCGCAGCAAAAAAAAAAAAAGAAAAAGAAAAAAGAAAAGAAAAAAAGAATTGTAATAATGAGGGAAAAATTTCACAGTGACATAAGGGGTAAAACAAGTACGCCCACTCAGACACACTCTTTCCCTCCTCCCCTCCCCACCTATTTTCTTTTTTTGAGACTCGTTTCTTCGCTTCAAAATCAATCCACATACATCTCCCTTCACCCCCTTTCCATGGTGCCACCTTGCTTATTTCAATTCATTTTCTCTCTCTGCAAGAAACATCCTCATATGGGTTCTGCTCCTTCGGTGCGGCCTCGTTGAGGAGTTTGAAAACATGTCTGTAGCACGCCAGCAGCTGGCCCTTTGACGCGGTGCGGCGGGACGATGCCAAATGTGTCCGCATGTACGCCATAAGTTGTGTCCGCGACGGCAGGAGTGACAGGAGGACCGTCTCATCATCAAATCCCAACTGAAGCAGCCGCGAGATGTCATCGGCTTCGTCATGAATGCTTTTCCTTCTTTTTTTGCCTCCACTCCAGGAACGAGATAGCTGACTGACATAACGCATGACATCATCGGTTGGACGGTACAAAAAGTGGCGGCACATGGGCGAACCACAGCGGCACATCACAAAAAACTTCTGCAGTGGGTCCTCACCCGAAAATAGCGGGGCGACGCGGTGGGCGTAACTCAACGTCAACTCACCTCCGGCCGGCACATCGCGGGTGGTGAAAAAACTGTTCGGGTCATCAAAGTGCGGGAAGCTCTGGATGCGGTTGAGAAGCTCGGCATTATGGGAGGCAATTGCCGCTGGCCAAAACTGACGGGAGAGGCCGCTACAGACGTTCGGATCGCAGCTATGATTCATGATGTGGTGTGGCAACGGCTGTGTCACGAGTTCCAACAACACCCCGGATGGGTGTGTGTAGTGCCAAGTGTCAGGAAGTCTTAGATGCGTGTCCGCCAATAGTGGGAGAAAGTTTGCGGCGTCCATGTAACTGCGCTGTGGCTCCGTGACGATGCGGGTGCCACGCGGGATGTCACGCGATGTCATGAGACCACGACTATGAATGGAACTTAGGCCCACGTAAAGACAATCCAGCGCCTTTCCGTGCAGGATACCGCGGAAAAGAGGTGCATTTACACCGCAATGAGAAGAACTGATATCGCCCCTCTCAGTTGCAAATGCTGCTGCCGCTTGTTCATACGCCCCCATTTCAATGAGATGTTGTATGGAAGTTGAAGATACTGAGCAATTAGACGATAAGGATGACGTCTCCGTCGTTGCAGAAGACGAAGTAGAAAGCGGAGGTGCTACGCTTTTTCGTGTGTAGAAGGATACATGTCCAACGCTGTATCGTATATACGCCATTGCCGTGAGCCCGTAGTACAGCAATCGACCCACAATGGGCGTTGCCAAAGCGTTGAGCGCCAGAGCCGACTTTTGCAACTCCACCCGATCGCCATGCGAGAGTGACACCCGCTTTGTATAGATGGAAGTTGTTTGTGTCGACACCGCCTCCGTTGGGGTTGCTGTTGAAAGGAACAAGGAAGAAAGGGTGGTGGCGGTGGTGGTGGGGTTGAGACTGCGATTTCCTTCCACAGTCGCACCACCCCCAAAGGAAGTGCACATATCCGGGAACAACACATGCTCTCGATCCGCATAATTTGTCCGTTTTGTGCGGCGGAATGGACGCTGTTGTTGTCGCGGCACGGATGGTGTCGAGAGGTCCCAACGGCACTGCTGGCGATGCATCACGGATGACGCCGCCGTCATTGTCGTCGCCCGTCTCACACGCATTGCAATGAACTTTGGCCGGCAAACACCGTTTCTTCCTCCAAAAAGGGAAAAAGTATTGGTGGTTACTCCTCTCAATGACGTCCCCTTCTAAATTTATTACCGCAATGGTCGGAGAGGCACATAAAATATAATAAAGAAAAAGAAGGGAGGCGGGGTGTGTTTGTGCCTGTGAAAGAAAAGTAAACAACTTACACATAAATTCAAATCGATTTCATGGCTTCTACCTTCTTTATCTCAATCTCTCCTTCCTTGCGTGGACGTATGTATGCGTATGCATGTATCACAGACATCTTCCACAGCATGTTGGTTCTTAAATATCAGCCTGGCACAATCACAAAGAGGGAAGCTCGCAGATAGACTGTCTAAAATAATGGCTGCTGCTGCTTCTTATACTGAGGGCCGGTAGTCACAGCGGGACCACCTTCTGCCTTTTTCACCGGCAGAACATTGCCAGATGTATGTCGCATGCGTTGCCGGTGGCTACGGAGCAGTGCAGCAAATTCCGGTGACGGTAAATAACTCGGCAAAACAGTTGGAAGAAGAAATAACTTCTCGGTTGTGGTTCCCTCCGCCGCCATCGCGCTCGCGCTGAATGTCACGGTGCGTGCCAAAGACGTATTGCCGGACCCTGTGGTAGGAGAGGCGGATTGCTTCGTTGCAGTCTGCAAGAGGGATCCCGGCGGGGTGAGGAACTGACAACCAATGTCGCGCAGCAGAGACTCCAGTGGCTGATTGTATCGACTTGCCACAAACCGCGCAAGCAGTTCCGCACCGCCACGCCTCTCGGCTGTCGCTTTCGTTGTCGTTGCCACCCGCTTCCATGCCAACTGCCGGTTCAAACTGTTTGTGGTACTCCCCTGCTGTTTTTCTTGGGCTGCAGACCATACGTCGATTTTTGCCACCACACGTTGTAAGTAGTCGGCAAAACTGATAACGGTGCGCTGCGAGTTCTGATACTCATGCAGCACGAGCAGAATCGTACCCTCCACCACCTCCGCAGCCGACGGCATATTGTCGATCGGCAAATGCTGCAGCCGCTGTTGCACTGGTGTGGCTCTCTTCTCATCCGAAACACCGCCACTCCCACAATATGTACACTGTGGGCAGACGTCGGAGACGATACACCAGTGCAAATCACCCGCCTCCACATCATCTTCATCACCCGCAGCAGCAGGCGTCACATCCCTCTTGCAATCATCGTCCACTTCATGATCTTCTCTTGTGACGGGTACACCACGCCATGGCTTCCCTGCAAACACGTCAAGCACACTCCGCAGCCGCGTTTGGGTTAGAGGGGCCGGCAGACGCCACACACCCCAATCATACAACATGACTGCATACGCCCGTGTGTGATTTTTATTCATCAGCAGTGCAACATCAAAGCCACTCGAGGCGGCGGCAAGATATCCAGCCAGCACGAATACAGAAGGGGGCAAGGAGGTGGCTGCTTGCATGTCGTTGGTGGCCTTTTTGAACACACATGCCTCGCTCTCGGTGTTCAGAACCCATACATGCAGCGCCTGCAAATTTGTTCCACCGCCATGTGGTGGCATAGTGGATGCTGGTACCGCCGTGGTGTGCATAAGAAGCGAACCTGCAATGGCAATAGGCATCGTGACAACTGCCTCATCCCTGCGCGGCTGCCACTGCAACGCATTCATAAAAGACGTGGGCGATAAATTACAGTGTCGAAGCTCCATGTACATACCACTGCCATCTCGATCCTTTTGTCGCAGCAGCAGATCCGAGAGTGTGCCGCTGCTGAACGCCTCCACCCATTCATGCCGCATGCCGTGCTGTACAGCAAAGGCAAGTCGGGTGAGGTGCGTCACCGACCGACAGTGTGCGAGAAAAGCGTCTTTCCGCATCCATGCGCTGTGGCACACCCAACAGTAGTGACACTCACCACCTGGCAAGGGCGTGGGTGTCGTCTTCTCTCCTGTCGTGAGGGACGTGCTTGCGCTCTCCAGGGGACGCCGCTTGTATGCAAATCGAACTGTTGGCAGCGTCACCTTCCAATACACGGCGCGGGTGTAAACGACGCGTTGCACACTCAATGTCACAGTTTCCTCATCGTCATCCTCTTCTTCTTTGCTTCTTACCTGATCCTTAGTGCAACTTGAAGGGTTTGAAAACATACCCGCACTAGTTGTACGGCACTCATCGCCATGGAAAACCACTGCTGCTTCAGGTGCAGCAGATGCCGCCGGCAACGCGGTCACAGAGGGTGTCGGAAAGAGTTCCTCGTACCCCGCACGCCGCACGTCGCTCAGAAGCAGGGAACATTTGTGACCGTAGCTATCATGCCACGTTACACACACATTGGCCGGCTCCTCATCCTCGTTCACTGAATCGAAGCAAATGCCACGATAGACGCTGGAAGTGGCGGTCGAAGCAGTTTTTATGGATACGGGGCATGCCGGCGTCTCACCAGGATCTTTTTCCTCATTACTACCACCATTATTATTATTATTATTATTGCCATTACTATTAATACCGCTAATATTATCATTACTTCTCTTATTACTTTCGTTTGGCGTCGTGGATGGTGGAAGTAACACCGTGAGACGTGTTAGTGCACTTTGTATGGACACAAGTAAACTGATGCCAATGTGCGCCAGTGTCACCGCGGGGGAATTTGATTTGGCCATGCCCTCAAATGGCAGTACATGAGGTGCAAGCAACAACTCGTCTTTCTGCTTCTGCTTCTCCTGCTGAGCCGCCGCACCCGTTTCTTCTTCTCTTTCCTTCGTTTCATTTACCCCAAAACAGGCAACTGCGGAACGTCCACCAACAAAAAGTTCTAACTGGCGAAGATGCGTTCCTGCAAGATAAGGTGCCAACACACGGTGTAATTCCTCCAGAGTCATTCGGTCGTACGGCGCAGCCCGAGTGAGGCCCACTTGCTGTTGTTGGGTGTGCAGCTCAATACTGAATGAGCAGGTGCTGTCCGCGTCCTCCTGCAAAGCGCCGAGGTTGCGCACAAGTCGTCTGTGATGCACACGGTGTGACCCATCCTCGCCACGCATGGTATTGCGGGCAAAGGCAGCCACAAACGCCGCACTTAGACGGTGCTGTACGGCACCAAACGTCATTGTGAGCCCGTCCTTATGATTTTCCCCCCATCTTCTTTTTCGTACGTTCCCGTCGCCTACCCTCGCCGATGGCTGCAGCAATCGAATAAGCTGCTCGTCGTGGGGGTACCAGTGCGTCATTGTGGCAACCCTTCGTGAGAAGCGGTGCGTGGCGTGTTCCATTGCGCATCGGTGCAATCGCTGCAACGAGCCCGCCAGCAATGCCCTGTAGGAACGCGGAAAGGCCGATGTGATAAGTTGCTCCACCGCCTGCGTACTCGGCCGGCGCACGGCCGTGTCGTGTTCACCGTACAACCCCTCCGTGCCATCCTGTGCCTTTGCATCCACCGCCACAAGGTGGTAGAGACGAGAGGCACATTGGGCCACGCAGTCGTCAACAAGACGAATCGCACTGCGGTTCACGCGATATTTGGTGTGAAAAGCCACGACATCGTTGCTGTTATTGCATGCGTACCACTCACGCAGCAGAGAGCACAACAGCAGCGGCTCACTGAGGTGGCAATCGCCTCGTTCATCCCCTGATGATTTGGCAGCTCCCGCCTTCAAAACCCCTGCCAGTTCACGCTGTATCTCTAGGGAGTACAGGTACTGCATCGCTGGTGTGCCCGCCTGCGATTGATCGTCCTGTGCTGTCATGCGAGGAAACATAAGAAGTGATGGCACCGTCATGGCGCATGCAATGATAAGGGCCTCCTCAATGCACGCAAACTGAAGGGCATAATAAATCAGCAACGCTTGTTCATGTGGCAGAGGAAGGTACGCCACAAACTCCCCCATTGCGGTAAGCGTCGCATGGTCATAGCGACACAACACGGCGTGCAGATCCTCTGTCTCCCCCGTCCTGCACTGTGGATCGCTACTCGCTCCGGCATCATTAAACGAACCGCCATCCCCACTCGTATCCAACTGCAGAAGCCCCAACTCCACGAGCTGTTCTACACCGCGGGCTATCGCGTCTGACGAGGGCGGGCTTGGCAGGTTCTGCACCAATGCACTCGGAAGTGATGGGAACAAATACTTCACGCGGAGAAGCACCGCCGCCGCATTTGCCGTGAGACTTTCCGGCAATGTCTGCGCAGGCGCCACAAATCCTGATAATGTGCCACGCCGCAAAGATGAAAGGCCCCCCGCGGTAAAAACAGGCATCTCAATTTGACGCGCGGTCTTCTTTTTCTCCGGCTGAAGGAACAGGCGACGCGGGGCCAAATGAATCACAGCGCCGTCGCACGTTCGGCCAGTGCGACCGCCCCGTTGCCGCAAACTACTTGCGCTCGCGAGCGCCGTGGAGCGCAGCATGACGCCTGTGAGAGGATCGGTAAAGAAACGCCTTTCCAGACAAGAGTCCACGACACAGCGGACATTTGGAATGGTCACGGAACTTTCTGCAACCGTCGTGGAAAGAATAATGCGGTACGGAAAGGGGCCAGCGGAGTCGTGCAGCTGCTGCTGTGGACTTCCAATAGCCGTGGCGTGAAGCAGAGCGACGGAAAAGCACCATTGCTCGTACCGAAGGAATGTGACGTTCCCTCGCTGACTGCTCGTACCACCATGAGAGACGCCACACGTGAGTGTCGGCGGAGAATCAGGCCCAACCTCCACAGACACCGCGCGACACAACATCTCCAATGACTGCAGCACCAACGAGATTTCCGCAAAGCCCGGAAGAAACACCAAAATACTCTCCGGCTGCTGGTCTGGCACGGAAGAAGATGACTGGAGTGGGCGGGGTTTCCGCTGGTCCCCGACACCGGAACTGGAAGAATTCAGGGCAAAACTCTGCAGTACAAAAAGCAAAAATTGCGCCAACACGCGGGCCTGCGGAGTATGTACGTCCGCACCAAAGCGAGTGTAGGAAAAAAAATGCCCCAATGACGCCACCACACGCCGTGCAGGGGCCTCCAAGAA